GAAAGGGTGTAAAAAGTAATGTATGACTTCATACTGTACTTATAGCAAAAGATTGCTCTGACAAATAGGACAAGTTAAAGGAATAGGTTGAAATGTTGGTAAAATATACTTATTACTGGAAAAGTGTTACATGGACATATTGATACCACACCCAGATTTGAAGGTTAAATATTAAGTTACAACCAGTGTTAGCTTGGCTTGGCTCAAAGTCTTGAAGTATGGGTAAACAGCTGACATGGGTTTGCCTGAATGGAATATTGCATCTAGATTACATACTATTTCACTTTTCATCTACACAAAAAGTAAAAGAGAAAAACGTTTACAGGGGGGTTATGCAGAACAGAGCCAAACTAACTGTTTTCATCTCAATGACCAAACACGATCACCACTCAAATAAGTATCCTTGAGTAATTGTTGGTTGAATTCCAATAAAGTAAACATGCCATCATGTCAGTAAAAGCCTTACCTGTCCATGATAAGGCCAGTGTGTGAAGGAACACGACAGCAGAGCCTGATGCCCACCTTCTCACACACTTCATTCTGGCCCAACGGAGCAGCACACACGCACACACAACTACCTGCAAGGAGGAGAAAGAACATGAGGGCCATTACTTGTCCATAATGGGGTTCCATCAATTATCCTGAATGACCACTGAGAGACGAATATCTCAAAACATAAAAACTATCTACATGGCGTAGTTCCACTGAGGGTGCATGAGGACAAAGGTGTTGTGATTTGTGTGTATACCATTTAAAGACAAATAAGTTGGTTATACATCTTTTAATGCAATGCAATAAAGACACAAAAACATTACACAAGACCTTTCACACAATACCTGTGATGTTCCTCTCACTTTTCAATAATTCACTGCCTGGTTAGCTCTGTTTTGCAGGCTGGCCTCATCATCACTACAAAACAAAACATCCACAGCCCTGCTTGGGTCGACATTGATTGCAGTGAGTGCAGGGAATGAGTAATGTGCTTGCTTGCAATCTGGGTCATGTGATATGTGCATCTCAGACGATAGCAGGAACTGAGCCATTAATAAAAACATAAATAATCCTTCACGTATGGAGACAACCAAGAATACCCTTTTTCATTATTAAAAGGTGTTAGAGGTCTAATCAATGCATGGGGCTAAACATTACATAGTAGATCTCTACATACTGCACTTGTAAGGCTGCATGCAGGCATTTCATGCAGATGTGCACACTTCAATGCCCTTCACAAAACAAACACAGTATTACCTCAGCCTTTTGTGCAGACGCTGTTGTGATTCAGCCTGCTGGAGCTCCATGTCAGCGGAGGAGGAGAGGAGGGAGAGGGAAGGATGGTGATAACAGCGAAGAGATGAGAGGCAGTCTTTCCTGACTCAGTAGCTTTCCCATTTGCGTACACTCTTACACTCTTACAAACACACACACACACACACACATACACACACAAGGCTCTATGCAGGGCACAACAGCTCCAGTTGCAGCGTTCACTAGCTGGCAGAGGCTGTCTGACGTAGGCAGTCAGGAAGAGAAAGTGGGAAGGGAGGAGGGGAGGAGAGAGAAGGAGCAAGGAACTTAGGAGATGGAAAGAAGGAGGGAGGGAATGAAGGCAGGGAGAAAGGGAAAGAAGCAGAGGATGAAGAGAGAGAGGGACAGAGGAGAGTGGGCACTGAGTTGGGAGGGAAAAAGAGACGATGTGGGAGAGGAGAGGATGTACAAGCTAGAAGACAAGAGGAGAAGCTCTGTCCAAAACATCAATCTCTAATGATTTACAACACAACATGATGGTGGATTGAGGACAGTTAAGTGTCAGTTTAAAGGGATAAACATTAGTCCCTGTCATCAGGCATGGTAAAGTAACCCCTCATATCCAAACGCAGACACTTACAGCTCACAGTGTCTGAGATCCATTACTTCCGACTGAAAGCCCTCTGCAGTGCAGCTGCACAGACATGAGCAGCAGCATGCAGAGCACTGCAGCCAAAAGCCAGACAAAAGAAACAAGCTTATGTCCTGTGTGCCACAGCAAAATGCAGGTATACGTTTCTCTTCAGAAAATAGTTATTTTAGTTTTATCCAATGCCGTCAACAAAAAACTGCTGTAGTACTCCCCTGAAGAAACTCTGTTCTTAAAGGAGCACTTTACCCACAATATAACCATTTGTTTTAAATTACTCACCCCGTGTGACCTTGAATTATTGAAGAAAGGCTTGTTTTTCTTGCATGCTTCCACGGGGGAAAGAGAATCCTAAAAAGTCTTGATGAATTGAAGCAATTGGGGACGAACAGCAAAACTATATGAAAAGAACAGTTTGTAAAGTCTCACAATACTCTGCAGATTAATTCAAGTCTTGTTTCCAGTCGTATATTCATTACTTTCAAACACATGCATTTTCAATACAACTTTTGCATGAATTTGCATAAAGAGACTCGCATTTGTGCAGGTGTTCTACCATGGAGGCATGCAAGAAAAACAGGATTTTCCTCAAGAATTCAACAACAGACAGGGTCATTGAAAAGGGCATTTTGTGAGTAAATCATTGCATTAAGTGGTTTGAAATCAGGTTTCGATAAGAAGGTTTTGCATCTAGCAAGTAGTAGCGTATGTGTAATTGTTCTATGATTTCAATCATTAATTGATGAAGCAGCATGAATGGGCGTTTCTTTGACTATGTATAGGCAAATATGGGCGTTACGTGAAGCCCGCAAAAGCTGCACAGCATTTCGAGTCGATTGTGATTTATAAAGGGAAACCGGCGTAGGAATTCGTGCCGTACGCACTTTCTCAGGAGCGGGTGTGGGTGAGGAGGCGGGCAGCAGAGTTCTGGATATGTTGGAGTTTATTGAGGAGGTTGGATGGTATGCCATAGAGCAGTGGTCACCAACCAGTCGATCGCGATCGACCGTTCGATCGCGAGTGTGGTGCGGGTAGATCGCGGACCGTTAANTGTGTGTTCCTTGTTTTACACCATGTATTCTCCTTTTTATCGTGATCTCACTGTGAAGCACTTTGTGAATCCTTTCTGTGAAAAGTGCTATATAAATAAACTTTACTTACTTACTTACTTACACACACACACTCACTCACTCACTCACTCACTCACTCACTCACTCACTCACTCACTCACTCACTCACTCACTCACTCACTCACTCACACACACACACACACACACACACACACACACACACACACACACACACACACACACACACACACACACACACACACACACACACACACACACACACACTTTAGGTCTGTCAGTCAGTAACTAAAGCTGCACCCACAGGAATAGACTTTGATCAATGCACACAAATAGACCCACACTCACACTCACACAAAGACATAGGCTAACATATTCATAGTCATGAACAATCCCAACCAACAAACAAGCAAACCCAGACTGCAGTCACAGAAGCATTTTGGACCTGAAACTAATTAAATGATTCAGTGCATTAGTGCTTACAGGTAAACAAGGGAAGGGCTCTGCAGAAAGACAGACTATAAAACACTTACTGGATGCAGTGCATCAAAGATAATGCTGCATAATAAATTATGGATCATAAGATTCCTCTCTTACATAATGGATGAGTTATCAAATCTATTCACGTTATGTGCGATTATTTGTCCCATGAGCCAGCTAGAGTCAGCCAGGATCACCTTTGAGTGGGAACATTTTACTTGACCCAATAAAAAATGTAAAGGCATTTTAATTAGAAAATCGTTTTTATATATAAAAGCTCTATAACACACATACAGTGACATTTAAACATTATAAAATACTTATGGCATTATCTAAAAAAAATTAAAACATTGCTCAGTATAACAATATAACATTTTGTCATAAAAACAAAGAAATACAAGTGTTACTTTAATTTGTTAGTAGATGTGATGCATTCACAGATGTAAGGAGAAAAAACAGGCTCTCAAGGACACTTTGCAATCAAAGGGTTTTCAGATCTGACTGTGCACTCGCATAAACACCAAGAACAGGTGCTATGTTATCTGATCTTTCAGACCTGAAAGCAACATCACAGTTATGCTCTTTTATCCAAGTAGTCTAATAGGCCTACTGTTGGCAGATAAAACTACTTTTAACAAGTTATCTGGAACTGGCAGGTACGAGGATGGGTGTGGTTAACAGACTTTAATGAAAGACTTATTGTGTTTTGTGACTATTTTACATTGTCTTTTAAAGGGGCCATTGTGTAGGATATGGGGGGATTTATTATTAAGTATTTATAACCATGATTTTGATGGTGAAGAAGGAGAATGAGTGCTTCATATGTTGCACTGCCGGTTTTCAACAAACTAAACACTGACTCTAGAGAGGGACTTTTGCATTTTTACTTGTCCTAACAAGAACGTAGTTTTTCTGAAACGCTTGGAAACGGATTTGTGAGCAGAGGGGTATCAATTAGATGCAATCGACAACCTCACCACTAGATGGCACTAAATTCTTCACACTGGTCTCCAAAGACTTAAAAGTCATATCCAAAAATAGTGTGCAAAATGGCACCTTCAAAAATGTAAAGGTCTTTATGTGACTCATCGTGGCAGAAAAACATAATTCTTACTTCCTCCAGTTGCATGCTGCAGCTTATTTTGCTACTTACTTCCTAAACTTAGCACCAGCCATGAAAGAAACAACAGGGAGTCGTTTGCCTGTTTTCCCTTCAGGACAGTTGCCAAGCCAGCTTCATGATTTCTGGGCTCTCTTAAAAGTGAAGCTACTCTACTTTGGATCCTCTTTCAAAGCTTTGATCTTTATCGCTCTAATTTCTTTGTTTTTATTCAGAAACTTTCAAACATAACTTTCTTTCCGTTTTCCTTCCATACTTGAACAACTGGCTCATTTTCGACTCAGCAGAAGCGCTCTCTCCATCTATTCTCCAATCAGCAGAACCATGGTACGTAATCCATGGGTGCCATCTGGACATCCAACCAGCGAGCCTCCTGGATAGTTGAAGTGTTTCTGTCGCACTGTTTTTCCCCACATCCTCAGTCGGAGTCGTCATCATCTTCCTCTTCGTCTGAGCTTGGGCCCTCACTCTCTGAGGAGCTGGGGTCTTTGGTGCTGGCTTCTGAAATCATGCCATCTGAACTGTCAATCTCCATGGACGTCTCTGATAGGTAGAGGTGGATGGCCCTCCCTGGATGGCTGGTGCACAAACGCAGATACAGCGGAAATAGAAGGAGACATGCACCACATACAAAGAGCAAGATATTAATTCATGCATGACACATCCATGAATTATTTATGGCAATGCATGTGCATAAGTCACAGAACGGGGACAGGACAAAGACAACACAAACACAGCACCAGGGACAATGGGTTAGGGGTCACACAGGGTTAGGTTGTTCTCATTTGGGAGAAAAGTCTGGATCTAAATCTTTGTTTACCCATCTGCATCTGATTGGGGTAAAACTATTTCCTTCCTTTGCCAAGTTTTTCAATGGAGGACTCGGTTTGAAGTCTGAATAGATCTGATCGACCAAGATGAGAGCAAAGTTGAACATTTTTCTTTGAGGAGCTTGGCATTTCAAGTCTGGTTGAATCCAGTGAGTTTCAAAACAGTAACACAGTTTTGATAGTGATAGTTGGGATGCCTATTACAGAGAGATCTGAAAACCCAAGACAAACAAAGAAGTCCCACATGCCCAGAACAAAATAGACAAATAGACTCATATCAGCTCATGTTTAAAACAGACATTCGGCCACAAGAGAGGTTTCTGCCCAATAAAAAACATTTGCCACTTGACAAAATAAAAAATTGATATTGGATTTAACTATGTTCTGGTAGAATTTGTTATAAAGGCACTTTGTGAAATGTCTGTTTCCAACAAGGGCTTTTCATTAGGTTTTGGTTATTTGATAGCACCACGATCATTTATCAGGGCAACACAACAGATCACAGAAAACAGAGCAATGTAACTTCAGTGAAACAGAACACAATGTATACCTGCATCCTTCTGTTGATTCAGAAAACCGCAGTCAAGTGGATCGGATTAACTGATACAAATCTTAGAAATGTATGACGTTTCAAAAGGTTTCTCAAAATCTTGTAATAAAAACTCAATTTCACTTGAGGTAAGAAAGCTGCATTGTTCCACAGTTTCTATTGTTTCTTGAAACAATATATCAAACATGCAGCTTGTAAGGCATAATATGTTGGGGTTTGAAATGTATTAGTAGGGAAGTTAACAGCAGGAATAGACCATTGTTCGACCTCTACATCATCAAAACATTTACTCTAAACAGGAAATGTGTTAGGAAGCCCATTTAGCTGAGCAGAAAAACATGTTAAGAATGTGTTTCTTTTCAGAAATGAAAGGCACATGGTGATATCATAAAAGCTACACAGGTCTGGCTAAAGCTCTGTATCTACAGTAGTGCTTCCTACACAAAGGCACATTCTCAATGTATCTCTGGTTTTTTTAAGCTGTTCATAAGCTAGTCCAGGTTTGGGATCCAAAGACTGGGGTTGCAGAGGAAGAAGGAAGTGAAACGTCCAGTAGGAAAAGAGCCCCGGGCCCTAAGAAGGAGCACCACACAACCTGATCCCCAGATTTAGATGGAGAGTGAGAGAGGAAGTGGATGATTCTTCTGTTCCTCTCTCTATCCCCTCATTCTCTCCCTCTGTCTTTCTCATGGTCTTACCACACAGTGGGGTCTTTTCTCACTTTACGAGGAGCCTCCTCATTCCCTTCCAGCTGTCTCAGTGATTTCTTCTTGCACCGCCTGCAGGACACAAAGATGATGAGGAGGATGACCACAGCCGCGATACCGCCCCCGATGGCTAACGCCAGAAGGAGAAGCTCGGAAAAAGACGCTGGGGGTGAGAAGGAATAACAGGAGTACAAACTGAGTCATTCTTGTTTGATAAGGCAGAAAGAAACAACACTGCATAGAGGTATTGTGCATTTGTAACGGTGTGTAAGCTGTTGCTAACCCAAAAGTGTATTTTCATTTCAAACTTAATGTTGTGGCTCTTAGGATGGTGAGTCACTCTGTCTTTCAGTGGGCAGACATTCAAGAATTGTGACTTTGGTGACCACCTGACCTTAACTTTAGTTCCGCCATGGGATACATTATGGTAAAATATAAAAAAATAATTGAAGGGATTGCCAATCAATTTTGTACAAACATTGAGGGTCCCCAGAGGATGAATCCTAGCCATGTTGCTCTCCCTGAGGTTTCTCCTATCTTCCCCTTTAAACTGTGGGTTTTTTTCTCTGGAAGTTTCTCCTTGTACGATGTGAGGGTCTAAGGACAGAGGGTGTTGTTTTCTCATACTGATATTCTGTACAAACTGTGCTGTTGTATTTGTTGTAAAGTGTCTTTATTGTAAAGTATTTTTATTGTATATACAGCACTTTGACTCGACCAAAAATCGTTTTAAAAATGTGCTATATAAATAAAACTTGATTTGATTTAATATCCCTTCAGGACCGGCAACAGGTCAAAGTAGATTTTTATTGCTAAATATACTTGTTTCTCCAAGTATCTATCCTACCCTATGAGGACAGGGGTTGTGAACAAAATGACTCATCAACTATTGGATGACTTGTAACCAAACGGTAAAAAGAGTCATGTCCCCCCCAGAGGATTGTTTGCAACAACTCTCCTGTCTTTTCCTATAGTGCCATCATCAGGTCAAAATAACAAAAGTTCCTTGAATTATTTGGTTCATGACTCACTATTAGCGAGATGATTACATTCCCTTTAGCCTCAGCTGCACGTTGGGTTTAGCCCTAATTTGGAAACATAGCACTCTGAAACTCTGAACAATGGTGAACATGATATAACTGCTAAACATCAGCATGATATCACTGACATGTTGAGCATATTACAATGTCAATTTTAACATTTTCATTTAGCTCACAGCATCACTTGGCCTACACACTGGCTTCACACAGTTGTTAGACGGTAGACTTTGTCTTGTTCACATGTTGTGTCTGCATCAATATTGATACATAAGAAAGGACAATGTATAATATTGTTATCTAGTCAATAGTTATAAATCTCTGGGTATTGTGCTGTCGTCTCTTTTTTGGCTTAAATCCGTGAGAGCTGAAATGATGTTTTCAGACACATCATTATAATTATGTTTTTCATGTAAAAATGTTCTTTTCTGAAAAAAGTGCTGACCTGTGGTGACGACACGAAATCGAATCTCTCCGACCGTGCCGTGGACATCCGGCGGATTCTTAACCTGGCAGATGTAAGTACCATTGTAGGTGAACTTGACCTGTTGAAGTATGATGGAGGCGTCTCGGCCCATGACATCACCGGCCCAGCTGACATGCTTCCTGAAAATGCCCTCTAATGGAGGATATGGTTTCTGCTGGTAGTGGAACACCTACAAATGGAAATGGATTAGTAGAGAGACAGAGAGAGAAGGATGTAATCCCAGACCTGCTGTATCTTTTTTATCTTTTCTCAATATTCATACACACATAGCACACACAGGCTGGCTTGGACGCTCTAGAGACTCGGATGACTCACAGATTCCTTTTTCAGTTAGCTGAGGGGGTGGATGTTCCCTGACACAACGACGAAAGTTCAATCTGACTTTTTCACACAAACACAAACATACATGCACTCACCGACTGTTCTCTGCCTGGTTTCAGGGGTCTGAAGCTCCAGGAGATGACAATGGAATTGGGGTTGATGGAGGCGCTACTCTGAAATGTGCATTTTAGACGGACATCCGTCCCGTTAACTGCCTCCACATCCCCAGATGTGTATACATGCATCCCGCTGACCTGCAGGACGCCTGCAACACACAAACATATGGCACAGCAGCAAAGTTTACTTCAGAAGCAGAATGCAGTGCGCACAGAGAAAATCAATACATAGATAAATGGTTTGTGAAAGAAACACATACAACAACAAAAAAACTCAACAGACTGAGAATAAATTCACTCTCATCAGAAAATTCCTGCATACAATGAACCCAGCGACCCTACCTCTGCCTACGCAGTGCTGCTGCAAGAACATCACTGACTCTAAGTTGTCACTACAACTTAATCAGACACTGATATCTCACAGATTGGTCCGAATGTTGAACGTGCAAAATTAGATCCTGGGGTGATTGAGTAAGTGAACTCCTTTCAAACACCTGCTTCATTACATCCTGAAAAATCCAAAATGATTTCATATCAGCAGACCACATCTGTGACATTTAATGAATAATGGCCACTTCACCTACACTACAGCAGCTGAGCCAAGGCTGAAATTGAAGGTCTGCTGTATGTTATATGGATGTGGACTATATCAATCTTTACAGTGGACCTATTAGATGGAAAATGAATGGACTGGAAGAGTGGAGAGGCCTATTGGCAACGATTTGGCTCTTCCACATAATGATGGATGGAGCTCCCCAGGATGGAGTTAGTGCTGATACACACATACACTGCACCAGCATACACATGCACTGTCTAGGAAAGAGACATGCTTAATGCTTAGTTCCTGTCTGGGAACTAGTCACATCAGGAACCAGCCGCTCATGCGTCTATCTCCAGGAGATTGCAGGGTCTTGTTTATTTCGAGGTAAGTCTAACCTTTTTCTAAATCAATCCAGTGAGTTTATATATAAGTCCCTGTGGAAGCATCTGTGCAGGCTGTCTGGTTCCAAAATCACCTGGTCTATTTATAGAGAGAGCTCCATATACCTTTAATAATATGAGGAGCCATGTCTAGCCATATTAAAGTCTATGCCCAAGCACACAGCAGAATATCTGTCTGCACAGCACAGGGTAGCCGAGACCTGTCTTAACGTCATTAGCTCATTCAAGGACCCTGCAGAACGAGCCAAACACCATCAGAGACTCTTCAATCGGAAAGAAAAGCTGCATGTGGCCCGATGGATCACCTGAGTGCAAACATCATCCCAGATCTCAGTTTAATATACAAGATCATTCATTTGTTGCGGATGCAATTAGCAACATCATAAAGGGCTATACGCTGTAGTCTGATTTAAAATAGGGGAGATGTGACCTCCAGCTGTCTAGCATACTTGCAGCAATTTCACAGTGATTAATATGATTAAGTTATATTTTAGGATTTTTTTATATTTTTAACACTTAAAGGTGGAGTTTGGAATGCTCTTAACATCCCGATAGAAATATCTTAAGTGCTTTGACAAAAAATCCATTAAAAAATGTCCTCTGTTGAAGCCGTAGTACTGTAAAAAGCACGACCAATCATCTGAGCCGGCCCGGCTAAAATAACTGGATGGCCTACCTGCCTGTCAGCCTTCCATCTGTGCACAAACTTATCTCGTGCCCTCATTGGTCATGTGCGCGTTCGTGTGTGTTGGAGGAGGGGCTCTCTAAGGAAGTGGCAGATTTTTTCCGGTTGTGTATTTTTAAATTCTAGCGCACTCGAGCTGGTTTCTCCAAAATGACCTACCCCACCTTTAATATCGCACGTCCTGCGATGTCAATATCGTCAAGACACGATATATCATGCAGCCCTAATAGCAATATTTTCTCCTCAATGAGTAGGTGTAGCTTCTTTCTGTGCAGTGATACGGTTGGTAGATGTTTTATAGAGAAAATAACAAAATACAGTAAAACTATGGTCTCAGCCCCAAGTTTAACTCTGAGGTAGATTTATAATATATAATCTCTATCTCACTCCTAACACATCTAAATCTACTTCCAGCATGGATAGATGTTCATAAAAGACATCCATTGTTTGTTTTATACGCTTCTTGAAATACAATAGAAACACATCGTTTTTCTAGAATAGATTACGAATCGCTTGAAAATGGTACAAACACGTGGCAACATGTGTGACCAAGGTGTTGCGCTGGGCTATATCACGCAATCGAAAGTGAAAGTTAAGCTCGTTCCATTGCGGAGATATTCCCGCGAGAGTGCGGAAAACTTAAATAAATTAATGTATTTCAAACGTGAAATGTTACAAATATACTCACGGACCACTAGGGGGCGCTTTGAGAAACACTGCTCTACCGGTACTGACCATCCTCTACAATGAACTGTGTGTATCTTTCTCATGGGTTCAGGTTACTGTACCTGCTGCAGCAGAGCTCCTCCTCTCTGGAGCTGAGGACAGAGTGTGCCGTGGTGCTGGGCAGCCTGGCCATGGGCACCGAGAACAACATAAAGTCCCTTGTGGACTGTCACATCATCCCCGCCCTGCTTCAAGGTGGAGAGAACAATCAAATCATAAAGTATACAAACACTCGCTGCAGAGAAGGACGTATTTTATTATTTTTTTCACCACCTTCAAAAAACTCACAAAAACTCACCTCTTCAATCTGGCTTTTCATGTGTGATTGTTTTTGTATTATTTGACTTTAACTTTAACTATATATTTATTTGTTGTTCCTTTCTTCTCTTTTCTTTTCTCTTCACTATTATCTGTAAAGCGTCTTTGAGCACCTGTAAAAGCACTAACAAATTAAATCTATTATTATTATTATTATTATATTTTGAGACCTACCTGTGTTTTGTTCCCGCAGGTCTCTTGTGTCCAGACCTGATCTTTATTGAAGCTTGTCTTCGATGTCTCAGAACGGTTTTCATCAGTCCAGTCACCCCCGTGCAGCTGCTCTATACTGTAGGTGGACTTCTACATGTTCTGTCTGCTTTTTACAGTACATGCACACACATAGTATATACATAAACAACATGTCCCTGCACACAGAGACTATCAGTGTTCCTCTAATATTATGGTATCAGAAACAGGTTTAATACCAGGTAGGTTGACACGTACGAGGAATTTGATCTGGAATTGTGGTGCATACATAGAAGTGAAACAAGAATTAAAAACACAGATAGAAAACTGTTTTAAGAAAACTATAAGAACATAAACAAATATGTGTCCCCGGTGTGTCAGAAAACAAAACCCTCTCTCTTTTCCTCCGTACCCACATCTCAAAAAAGGGTGGGGGGCGCTAACAAGCAGATCCAGAATTTTCGCTCCTATTACTTCATTGGTGAGATCCGGCCGACGTGACACGTCCCCACCTATCGTCTCCGGCACACGTGACACGTCCCCACCTATCGTCTCCGGCACACGTGACACGTCCCAACCTATCGTCTCCGTATACAGTTGCAGTTGCTGGAGGCTTAAGAGTAAAGTTGTTATATAGAATACATACAATGGCACTGTCCTAGCGGTAAACACGTAAGAAAGACCATGCGCGGCGTGTTTTGGGAGTAATATGCTGTGTGTTTACATTAGCAAGCATGCTAACACTCAGAGCAAACCATGGAGCTAACGCTGTAGGCTACTGGAGAGAATATGTGTAACGTAATGTCCTTGTGGTAAACCCTGCGAGAGAGAAAGGTTTGAGCTCCATACTGTTTCAGAAATAACGCTTGAAGTGGTTAGGAGCATAACATGGCATTTAATCACCGCAGCGTTTAGCTGAGATCTCCCCATAGCAGGGGAAAACTGCGTGGCGCTACAAAGGGGCGTGGCTAAAGCAGAATCAGCCTGTTTGCAACAGGGCTGCATAAGAGGGGTATGAGCAGTATGAGGCATGGCTACAATGGGTGATCTGTTTGGTATTTTAAGCAACCAACTTCACAGACGTGTTTTGTATAGGTATGGCCCTACAATATATGTTTCCAATATAGCATGATAGGTCCACTTTAAGTTAGCTCAAGGATGACATTGTGACAATATGAATAATACAGTCTAACCGAAGAGAGAACTCACTAGGTCTCAAAGAAGTAAAAAGACACCAGAAATGTTAACAAACTGTTCTATTTCTTTCTTCCATGTGTATTTAATGTCCTCCTGGTGCAACATGCTCATTAGTTCTCTCTTCCGTTACATAAAAGTTAACTATTTCCATTTGTTAAATTATATTTGTTGACGTTTTTTGTTTTTGTTTTAGGACCCCACTGTGATCCCCCATCTAATGTCTCTCCTGAGCCGCTCCCAGAGAACGCAGGAGTACATCACACAGATCTTCTCCCACTGTTGTAAGGTATTTGTTGGTATATCTTCTCACACACACACACAGTGGAGTCCATGGCTCTTGTGTCCAGATGGAGATTCATTGTGTTTTGTCTGCAGACCCCGGAGCACCAGACGGTTCTTTTTAACCACGGCGCAATCCAGAACATTGCCCCTCTTCTTATCTCCCCCTCTTATAAGGTACGTCTCTCTGGCCGTTTCTCAATGTCGAGTACGCTTGCTTGGTAGCACATGTCTTCCGAGTCACTTGCTTCAGAAGCGAGGCAAGAATACTTCCTGGTATTCGGAAAACGAAGAGTGGAACAGGCTAGCAAGTGTGCGTCACATGAGAGGCCCCGCCTTACATTTTCCGCCACAGATTTGGGGAAATTGGTCCGTGCGCAAAGCATTGTGGGGATTTTAAGACCGCGGAGTCTACACATGCGCAGCCTCGAAATTTCCCCCAAACCAAGGACGTGGCCTCGGTGGAATTCCAAGTATGCTGGACATTGGAACGGTCCTGCTGCGCCACTTGATGACGTAGCATCCTTGAAATATTGGCTTGGAAGCCGGTTTCCTCGCAATTGAGAAACGGCCTGTGTGAGTAATGTAGATTTACCCAGAAGCCCTTTCACTCACGGGTAACTCTGAATATCTTCCTCTCCTCTCAGGTCCGGATGCAGGCGTTAAAGGTTTTCTCAGTCCGGCTTATGAGAACACTCAGGTTCTCCATGATTCACTGGTGAATGGTGAGCGTCTCTTGTCTCTTTTCACTTCTTCTCTCTGTCCCTTCATTTTTTGTTTATCACCATTTCGTTGTCGTCCTTCTTCAGTTTGCTCTTTCTCACTTTTCTTTGTCTCACTTTACATTTCCTCCATCTATTCATTCACTTTTATTCTCTTAACTTTCTCTTCTGTCCACCGATTTATTTTGTGTTATCTTGTTCATAATCTACCTCTCTTTTTACTTTCAGTCTCTCTCCACTTGTCCCTCTATTCTCAATATCTTACCTAATATTTATCTAGGGATGCTCCGATCGATATTCGCCGATTACTCACTCCTTCTGCGATCCGATCGATTACTTTTCTCTGTTTAGCCCTAGTTCTACCTCTAAAAGTTGTAGGTTTACAAGTCGAATTTCTAACAGTATTCTTGTCCGA